GGTTTTTAAGACTTCTGTTCCACCTACCGAAGCAAATGAATTTAGAAAGCTCCAGATTGTGAAGGCTGGAGAGGTGACGTTTCTCATTTTGGTGGTAAGACGGGACCACAGACTGTGAAGAAGTCAGATACACACCCCACCCTTCATTTCTTGCCACTTGAGTTGAGCTGTAGCCGTCGGACTTAAAGGGCAATCAGCTATATTCAGCTTTCCTATAATTGGGATCTACTTTCTACAGTTTTCCTTCCAGAAGAGATGTGTGAAGAATGCATTGAAGGTGTGAGACCAAGGGCGTACATCAAATTCTTAATTTGAATTTAATTTTTCCTTTCTATTTATTGCAAGTAACTACTTGTTATACTTAACCTAGGGTGCACATGTAGAGAATAACAATCTAGAAAGAAGTTCGTGAATAGCAGGCATTTGGACTTATAAACAGTGGGCAGAAACAATTTTTTTTAAACTATGTGAGCTATGGACAAGATATAATTTAGAAAGATTCACCTGGGACTGAAAAATGCTTTCACTAAAAATTATGATTTCGGAACTTCATGGAGATGACGGTTGCACAACACTGTACTAAAATGCCCTCAGTTGTAGACTTTAAAATGGTTAATTTTATGTGAATTATATCTCAAAAGAATTGCTTATGGAACACAGTACTATACTGTACTTAGGATTCAGAGAGTGATGAGAAGTGGTCCTTGCTCTCAAGGAACAGTATAGTAGAAGACAAATTGCAACACGTACATAATAAATATTAAAATAGGTTCTTGTATATTTGCCCAAGAACCCAAAAATGTTTAAGGACTTATTGCATTAGTTCATAATAGTGAAAAATTAGAAAAACCTGTACAACTAATTAGAGGCCATTGGTTGCAAGCACAAAGCCAGATTCTGGCTAACCTGAGCAAAAAATAATTTAGTTGGCAGACTGCTAAACTGAAGTCATTTGCCTGGGGTTGGGGAGCCTATGATCTATCTGCTCCATCAGAATCCCTTATTAAAGCAGCAGTCCTCAACCTTTTTGGCACCATGGACAGGTTTCATGAAAGACAATTTTTCCACTGGGGTGGGGGGATAGTTTCAGGATGATTGAAGCACATTGCATTTATTGTGCACTCAAACCTCTCTAATGATAATCTGTATTTGCAGCTGCTCCTCATCACTGCCTCAGCTCCACCTCAGATCATCAGGCATTACATTCTCATAAGGAGCACATGCAACCCAGATCCCTCGCATGAGCAGTTTACAGTAGGGCTTGTGTTCCTATCTAATGCTGCCACTGATGTGACAAGAGGTGGAGCTTATGCAGTGATGCAAGCGATGAGGAGCAGCTGTAAATACAAATGAAGCTTCACTCACCTGCCACTCAACTCCTGCTGTGTGTCCCAGTTCCTAACAGGTCACAGATCGGTACCAGTCACTGGCCCAGGGGTTGGGGACCACAGCCTTAAAGGCTGTCCTTGCTGGCCCTCCCACAAAACAAATCTCCTAATTTGATTATTAAGTACTTACATAACTTTCTATCATAGTTTACTTGTTATATTACTTGTATAACTTGCAATTACACAGTATAAATATCTATTAATAAGGAACTGATAAAAATCATAGTACATCTATATAATGGATTACAGCAGTTAAAAAGCAGAGTAAGCCAGTAAACTCAAGCAGCTCACACCTGTACTATCAGCACTTTGGAAGGCCAAGGCGGAGAGGATCTCTTGAGGCCAGGAGTTTGAGACTAGCTTGGGCAACATAGAAGAGACCCCACTCCCACCACCCTCTTTTCTACAAAAAAATTTTTTTAAAAATTAGCCAGGCATGATGGTGCACCTGTAGTCCCAGCTACTCTAGAGGCTGACAAGGAAGATCACTTGAACCCAGGAATTCAAGGCTGCAGTGAGCTGTGGTAGTGCCACTCCAGCCTCAGTGACAGAGTGAGAACCAGTCTCTAAATAAAAAAATAAGCAGGGTGTATGAATGACATGTGTGACATGACAAAATATATTTAAAATGAAAAAAACTTAAGTATGGCTGCAGTACAATGTAAAGTATCAACCTATTTTTGTAAAAAAAAAAAAAAAATTCTGATTTGTATACATGTAGAATGCCTGAAGAAATTATTTGCAGATTACCTCTGGAAAATAAGTATGCCTATGGTTTTTAATTTCTTAAACATGTTATTACTTATAACTTAAGACAAAAACACTATAGTCACATAGAAAACAATTATAATCCAGATGAGAAATGAAAAGCCTAAATCAGGGAAGTAAGAGTGAAGATAAATTGGAGGTTGGATACTATGACAATTTCAGAGATAATTTTATTGACTAAGAAGATAAAGGGATGCAAATTAGTTGTACAGGTTTCATTTCCAGCTGACAGAATAGTGTCTATTAACAAAACAATAAAATCAGGAGATCTTCTAGATGCGTTCAATTTGAATATTCAGGTAGGGGGTTTTATTGGAAATACCGATCTAGAGCTAGTGGAAGAAGTTATATTTGGGAGTTATCCACAAAGAGGTTTGAGGCTTGGGAAACAAAAGAATATATTGAGAAGTACATAGAGAACAATTTTAAGGGGTTTGAGGGGAAGAACATTTAGAAAATAACCGTGACAGAAATCATAGACGAAAAATAGTACAATCTCATTTTTTCCCCCAGAGTGAAAGCAAAACCAATTTAATACTACATTATTAAGAATTTGTTATGACCTCTTCATGATAATACCATTTTTTCAATCCCACGAATCAATATCACACCCTTGAGCCATCCTGACAGGAGCTACCTTAATATTAATTGCTTGAGTATTGAAAAAAATTAATATCTGATACTAAGGTGTAACTTACTTTGTAATTTAAAAAAAGGAGGCTTTCTGTTCTTGAAATATTCAAACTAGGCAGGACAATATTAACTGAAACTACTCTCAGAACCCTGTTTTTCAGCTGTTATAGGTTTGTAATGGACAAATACATGCTCATAACGGAAAGTTTTAAATTATGTAATAGTATAATTTTATAACCTGCAGAATTAATATTTGATGTATTTTTTCCTAGTCTTTTCAATACCAGTTTTTATTACATACATGTAAATATCATTCATTGAAGGCTTACTAAATACCAAACCTTTTAACAGTTTACCATTTTGTCCTTCCAACCATTCTGACACTCAGAAGTTAAGTGATTTGCTTAGGTTTTCACAACTAGAATTTAAAACCTGCCACTTACATCTCAAGTAGGACTCCAAAGCCCAATCTTAACTACAAAACTGCAAGACCTGCTTCTCTCCTCACCCATTTAGTAAGTTTCAGCGTTTCCCAGAACATTAACTGTAATAATGTATTAGCAACTTGACCTCTTATTACATAAATACAACATGCTTTATTTTCCTATCTGCCAGATGTGTATATGTATTGCTGTTATAAATAAGCCTGTGATTAATATCTTTGTATCAAGATCTGTCCCAACTTTAGGCAATTACATTATTGCCAATAATTATTTTCAAATAAATAATGAAATTCACATACACAAAACTGGCAAGTAGCAGGTAATTGCTTCTCTAATTTCAGTTTCTTAGTTTTCACATGGAATGAATGATTACAATACAGGCTGAAGGAGAACAAAGGTATTACTGAACTACACCAGAAGCTGGGCATGGTGGCACACACCTATAGTCCCAGCTACTAAGGAGACTGAGGTGGGAGGATCACTTGAACCCATTGGTTTAACACACTGACTGACACACTAGAAAAAAACATTTTTTTTCCTTGGGGCCACAGTGTTTTATTACAAAAATAGAATACAAACTTTGAAAACAGGACAATACTTTCTAATTTAATGAAAAATTTATTTTTTTCTTGTTTTCTGTGCGTGAATTATGTGCAACTTGAACAATAGTTCACGTAGCTCCCAAGGTAAAGAGACATATGAGTTACATGTACTTTACCAGGCCCCATGCTCAAAACTAGCATGAGTTAAATACAACTCACATGGCAGTTGATGTGTTAAAGCCAGCCTGGGCAACATAATGCATATTGAGACCCCATCTCTAAAATAATTAATTAATTAAAACAAGAAATACAACAGGGACAGTCTAAAATAGCATTTGAGAGCAAGCTCATGCTGTTCAACATTAGCAGGCAGAAGAAATAGGGAAGAAATAAAAGTGAGTGCTCTTAGCATATCCAGGGCATTAAATAAATAAATGTAAAAATAAATAAATGTATGTGAGGCTATCACAGAAAAGCCAGCTTATTATGTTTAGCTAGGTTTTGTGGGAAATTACAGGCCATATATTAGTGTAACCTACCCCCCATTGAACAAATTTCAATGACCCCTTTATAATCCTCTCGTTAACTACTTTACCTTTCAAGTTGTTTCCCAGAAATGTGTTCCACAAGACAAAGGAGCTGAGATTCTGAAGGCCCTTGGGCCTTCCAGACATCAACATTCACTATCCCCCCAAACCTGTCCCCAGTGCATGTTGCCCCTTATGAGATTCACCAAGACAGGCCCCAAGGCATGTGGCCCTTCTTTGAAAAGCCCCTGATCTGCCTCAGTCAGAGACAGATTTGAGGCAGCTTCTCCCCTTTCTCCCCACAAGACAAGTCTGTCATATTAAAAAATCCTTTCTTCCTTGGCAATCCTTGTTGACTCAATAATTGGATCTTTGTGCAACGAGTAACTGTACCTAGACCAAAACTCCCTTGCAGTTTTGACAACATTAGCACTCTCACCAATAATATGACCACATCTGTAATCAACATTTTCAAAAGTGAAATTGTATGTGATGTACAATACAAATATTTTGCCTATCCTTTAATTTCCAAAGCATGCTCATTTACATATTGACTGACTAAAATTCTTTTAAGATAGGCCAGAACATCTACCTTATCTACACAATAGGAAAACAGATGTAAAATAGCATTAAGGACTTCCTTGCCTAAAATTACAAGACTGTGTGTGTGTGTGTGTAAATCTCTTTATTCTCATTTCATCCTTTTTGCTGAACTTTATTCATATATCTGCCCTTCTTATATTCTTCTTCCATATGAAAGACATCATTATCCAGTTGTTCAACCCAAACCTCCTTCTCCTTCACTAGTCCCCATTTCTAGTCATCAAGTGCTAAAAGACATCTTCCTCAGTTTTTCTGGAATTGATCTCTTCTCCATTGGAGTTCCCTGTTGGAAGTCCATTTCTTCATAAGTCTGGCATATGAGATTTTAATTGTTCTGCTGCAGTTTTCTCTTCTTCAGTCAGTGGTGTCAGCTAGAAAACAAATGACAAAACCTTTATTTCAAAAACCTTTAAAGACTGTTAAATTAGTTTAGTTAACTTCAGCTCTGTCACACCAATAAATGTTTCCATAAGCTTATACTATATAATCACAAATTTAGGAAAGAAAGGAAAAATATAGATACTTGGCTATCTATATGCAGGTACTATGATGTTTGAATTTCTGAAAAACTTGCAATTATAAATAAGTTGAAGAAACAGAACGAGAAATCAAACAATTTAAGGACTATAACTTAACAAAACCAAAGAAGTCATGTTTGGATAACATTCTAAAAGTACAGTTGTCCCTCAATATCTTTGGGGGATTGACTCCAGGATACCAAAATCCACGGGTGCTCAAGTCCTTTATATAAAATAGTGTCATATTTGCATATAACCTAGGCACATCCTACTGTATACTTTAAATCATCTCTAGATTACTTAAATACCTAATACAATGTAAATGCTATGTAAACAGTTGTTATACTGTATTGTTTAGGGAACAATGACAAGGAAAAAAGTCTACATGTTTAGTCAGAGGCAACCATCTGAATATTTTTTTTTTTTTGAGACAGAGTCTCACTCTTTTGCCCAGGCTAGAGTGAGTGCCGTGGTGTCAGCCTCGCTCACAGCAACCTCACACTCCTGGGCTCAAGCGATCCTTCTGCCTCAG